TCCTCCTCCTCCTCCTCCTCCTCCTCCTCCTCTTCTTCTTTCTCTTGCCCTTCCCCAACTCCTCTTTGTTTTTCTTCTACATTTTGGAAATGAAAAAAGAAGTAGAAATATAAAAAAACTTGAGAAGTAGTTGTATCATTTCCATAATAAAAAATTGGTTTTGAGTTAAACAGTATATGCATGTTAACCTGAACTTAACACAAGTGGGTAGCATTGGCAAAGAATGTTATCTATTTAGAAAAAACTAAATATTTTGGAAAAGTTATGAAAAGAATCTGAATAATTATAATATCACATTAAATTCCACTTGAGGTGATCAAGAGATTATGATGGAAACTTTAGTTGGATTTTAAGATTCAGATCAGGTAAGTAACCACTAAGGAAATATTATAGGATAAAAATTTACGAGTATTAGTATACTGAGCTCTCTTAACCTTCCCCAGTGCTCTCAAACACACTTTGGTTAGTACTTCCTTTCCATGGATTGACTCAAGATGAGAAAACCTATTTCCTCATATACATCTCTCAGTCTGTCCTCTAAGAAAATTGTTTTCCCACTCAACATTTTCATTTGCTCCTCATTTTTCTAAGGGAATTTTCATGAAATGTGGATAAAATGTCTCTACAAGTTAAAACTTTGGGTATTTCCACAAATCAAACCAAATATGTAAGTCCTTAGAACACCAAGTAGATTTTTTTTACTTTTATACTGACATCTTGGATCTGGTTAAGAATGTTTTGGGTCTTCTAGCAAAAGCAGATTGCATCTTCTTTTCTTTGATTTCTAACATAGGTTTTATTCCAAGAATTCATAACTAGTATCCTGTCATATTTCTAACATATTCTATACTTTGCTGATACCATCATCTCTGTTATTTCTCTTTCAGATCCTTTTAACTTAGACATATCTATGCTATCTTTTTTTCTCTTTGTGCCATCATTGGAACTCAGGTTCTTGCACTTGCCAGGCAGGCGCTGCGCACCTGAGCTATATCCCTGGCCAGATCTATGCTAACAATAACAAAATTACAGTAACTGTATTGATTAGCTATCTACTAAAAATATAATACATAGTCTACATAAAGACATATTTAGACAGAAATTATTTGTATTTGAGAACTCAGCCAGTGTTTCACTATCTGTCCAATCATTCATTTTGGGTGAACTAAACTTTACATTTAATAAACCAATTATTTTAACTGCAATGAAATTATCTGGAAAATTCTCAAATTCTTCAGCCCCCCATACAGAGAATCCTATTAATGGGGTATCATAACCTGATACTACAGGTATTTTTCTTTTGTCACTTTTCACACTAGCATGTATGGGTCTTCTAGCAAAAGCAGATTACATCTTCTTGGGGATATAGCTCAGTCACACAGCTTCAGCCTGGTAAGCTCAAGATCCTGAGTTCAATTCCCAGTACAAAAAAAAATCACCAAGTTATAAGTATAGGAGCTTGTCATATGAGGATTGTAAAACTGGGTATATTAATGAAGTATTTGGAGAAAACAGGGCTAGGACATTTGAGTAACAGAAACAACTCAAAAGCATGATCAGCCTGGAAAATATGTGAGTTGGAGGACTATCAAGAAGCTAAAGTTAGAGCCGGCCAAATAGCTCAGTGGATTAAAGGGCCTGTAAGCAGGTACAGGGGTCAGAGGTTCGAGAGGCAAATGAGACTGGGTGTGGTGGTGCAAGCCTGTAATCCCAGTTCCTGGGAGGCTGTAAACAGGTGGATCACTATGAGTCTGATCTAGTAGCCAAACCCTGTACGCTATGTAGACCTTTCCCTAAAATACAAAAGAAGAAGAAGAAGAAGAAGAAG